AGAGAGAGAGAGAGAGAGAGAGAGAGAGAGAGAGAGAGAGAGAGAGAGAGAGAGAGAGAGAGAGAGAGAGAGAGAGAGAGACTGGAATTAACAAAACTTGCTGTCATGGACATTAGATTGCTCCTGGCACCTCCTTGCCACTCCTCCAATCATCAAGCGAGCGCTGACTCATTCATTCATTCATTCGTTAAGCCAATGTGCTGGCAAGTCCACTGCCAAGCTTCTGCTTCCGGTACAAGACGATATGCATTGGCACAACAGACTTGCCCGCCGCCTTCCATTCTTCCATGCACTCCTCAGTATATGCTTTGAACGCAGCATCATCGTCAGCCCAGATCTTACGTATGCGCGCAGCATTCCGACGCTCCTTCTCATCTTCAAGCTTCTTCCGTCGCTCATGTTTTCCCTGCACAGACATATACACATGCTCACACAGCAACAACAAATGTGCATCTCCCCACAGTCACATGAACACACACACACACACACACACACACACACACACACACACACACACACACACACAATCAGTTTTATGTCTGTCTGTTTTCTCTTGTTGTCTGTTCTCCCTCTGATTTTTTCTAAGTACTTTTACTTACCCAACTGAGCACCCTTAAGTAGTGCCAAACAGTCGGTGGTTCCTCATTTTGAGTGCCTACTGCACTCTTGGGGGGGCTGCTCAGTTCTGGATGTCTGTGTTGCCTGTGGGTGATGACGGATGCTCGTCGCAGTTACTCCCTGGCTCAGTGGGTGGTGGGAACCAACAGTCTGCAGTGTTCAATCGTGATGTGAGTAGGTGATGTGCTGCTTTGCTCCGTGTTGGATGTGTGGACTGCCTCGTCTGCGCTCTGCCACTGCCTTGCTGCCTGTCCCGCTTGCTTCACATGTGGTTCTCTGCAAGTTGATGTGCTCGTTGTGTGGTGCGGCCATGTTGCTGGTGGTGCCTTGCCCTTCGCTGCTCCGTTGCCTTGCCGCTCACCTGCTGGTTGTGCCTTCTGTGTCCTTTGCTTGCGCACTTTGTAGTTTGGTTGCCTTGTCAGTGTTGCTTTCTGCTCCACTGCATGGTTGTTGTGCTGCTCGACCACTAGTGTTACGGACTCAGCCAGGGCTCGATCCCTGGTCCGTGGATTACCACCCACCAGGCTGCTATTTTAATCTGAGTTCCTGATCTCCGGATCTGGACTGCCGGCGCCCTCTGCAGTTGGCCCCCGTTCTCAAATTCCTCCACTGGCATTTTCAGGGATACTTGGCGCCATCCGGCATTCTGGCGCCCAGACGCAGACCTGCGATCCTCAGTTCAGTCCTGAGGCAGGCCGCACCTCGGCCCTCCGGACTGAGCCTGAGTCCGGTACTTAAGTCCGGACTCAAGCCCCGTTGGGGCATTCAGTCTTCGGCCTCAGTGCTTGTGTATCAGTGTGACTTGCCGCGACTTTGTGTTCGGAATCCAAGATTGCGACTTTGAGACTTTGCCACTTAATGTCTGCGTCCGTCGTGTCCAGTCGAGTCCGTGTTCGAGTCGAGTGAGTGTGTGTGTGTGCTCTCACTCTCTCCATCTCTCTCTCCCTCTCCCTCGACCTCTCTGCTCTGCCTCGGTCACGTCACACTGGTATCGGAGCGGTTCGAACCCGCCCGACCCACCCTGCTTCGTCGTCGCCTGGCCATCATCAGCATCATCATCGTGATCGTCGTTGTCGTGCCACGTCATCGTCGTCATTGTGCCACGTCATCATCGTCATCGTCGCGATCGTCGTCGTCGTGCCACGTCATCATCGCCGTGCTCGTCACCGCACCGTGCCATCCTCGCCATCGTCGTTGTTACCTCCGCGCAGATAAGTAATCGACGACAATTTTCTTTTTTTATTCTTTTCTTCTTCTTCTTCTTCTTCTTCTTCTTCTTCTAATTATCTTCTTCTTCTTCTTCTTCTTCTTCTTCTTCTTCTTCTTCTTCTTCTTCCAATTATCTTCTTCTTCTTCTTTCTCTTCGTTCTTTTCTCATTCTTACCTTCTTCTCCTTCTTCTTATCATCGTCGTCGTCATCGTCCCTCCTTTTCCCTCCCCTTCTTTCTCCCTCATCCCCGACATTCCCTTTTCCTCTTCTTCTTCTTCCTCTTCGACAACGTTTCTATTCTTTTTCCTTTCGTTTCTTTTCTTCTTCGCCATTTATTTTTATTTTTATTTTTATTTATTTCTTCCTTTTGATTTCAAAATCGAAACCAATTCGATTTCGATTCAGAAATCAAATCGATTTCGATTCGAAATCCAAATCCATTCGATTTCGATTCGAAACCGAAATCAATTTGATTCCCATTCCTTCGATTTCGTCCCCCCCCCC